CATATGCGATTGTGTAGAGCATGTCAGTGTAAGTGTGCGTAAGTAAGGGGTAAGAATTACACAAGGAAGAGGATGGAAAGATTGCGCGCGGTCCGTGGCCCGTTTGCTAGGGTATTGCTCTGGCATTCGCCTGGTGTTGATCGGAGAAACCACGGAGAACTACTAATCAGAGCAGCCTTCCGCTAGAATTCTCCTCCACATGGCGACTGAACTCGACCTATCTGTCTACCTAGAATCCTCGAAAATCCTGCCACCGTCAGGACTCGAACTCTAGAATCTCCCTGTCAGAGGCACTGCAGTGACATCATGCCCTGAGCCACCTTTCTCGATCGACGAGGTAAATCGATTGGCACAATTCATAGCTTGTTTCCTTCCTCAGCTCCGTAATCAAGCTGCAAAGTACTACCATATAGCTGTTCGCCCCTGAATATATTGAATCACAGCAACAAAATAGCAAGCCTTCCACTATTCGTAAGTATTAATATCTTGATTTTGGTGAATGAGTGCAATATCGTTTTAATAAATATGTCTTTTTCAAATTTATGAAAGACTTGGGTCAGTAACATGATAAGACACTCTTTTACCAAAGTCGAGACATTAACAATTATGAATAGTGAGAAGCGTGCGGCCTCCAGCTGGTGAGTCTCATCTTGTTAACGCGCAAACCCTTCAATTAATAAATTCCCTCCTCCTTAGAGTTTCTGTGGAAGCGAGAAAACCAAAACAAAAAAAGAAAATTTATTAATTTCTAGATGCCCCTTTCTCAAATCGTGGGAGGCTGGAATGGGCATTTGGGGAGGACGGCGTCCAGCACAACCTCTTTCATTGAAGGCGGCGGATGCTCCGGCTTATGAATGACGCAGCGGAAGGGGTCCTGGGCCGAAGGACCGGCGGAAGGGCCGGCGGGAGGGTCGAGGAGGGAGAGGAGGGGCGGCCAAACAGGTACTGCCGCCTCCGCTGCCATAAAATCAACTCGCAGGTACCGACAGCAGTGCCTGCAGGAAATTGTGCAAGCGTGTGCAGGCCAGTTAAGTGAACAAACGTGGCGTAGTTAGTGCAGTGAAGTGCGAATGAATAGGAAGAATGAATGGTTATGTATATAGTGAAACTAGTATGAATGATGTGAGCATGTAGATAAAAAGAAAAATTACCTCACCCGTAAAACAACAATTTATGTAGTATATAGTATAACAAAACTGACCTTAGTGTAAGTTAGTAATGCCAAAGTGCAAGTAAGTTAACTTTAGGTCTAGAATGTAAAATTAGCTGTAAGAAAAAGCCCCTCCTCTAGCTGCTTAAGCCGCAAGGCAGCAGTACAATGTACAAAATTTAAAGAGAATAAATTCCCCTTCTCTACTGGGTTACTGTGGAGGGGACAAAAGAAAAAAAACGTGGCGTCGTTATTTGGCCCAGTAGTATCAGTCATTCCGTCCTTGGATTCAGGCAGCATCCTGCAAGTGACTACAAAACCTTAATGGGTGAAAAATTTCGGAAGAGTTTAAAGACTATATCAACTGCAGTTTCAGTTCATTATTGTGTCTATTACGTAAATCTAATGGTATTTCAAGCTAAAGTTTTTAAGTGTAGATCAGAAATAATGCACATTAATTCTGTTGGCTACTAATTTCAGCTATTTAAAAAAATATTTTTCAGGGCTTCTTATTCACGCATTTAATAATTTTTGCTGTATTATCACCAGTAATGTGTTTTATACACTCTGTGAAACTTACATTCTACTAGCAAATACGCACGACTTGTTGCATTGATCCATTGTACAATCATAGCATTAAATTTAAAATCTTTAAATAAAAATATTTTAATGTTTTGTTGGTGATCTTAACTTTAAAAAACATTATATCACATTAAGTAAAAGGTCAAGAGCAGTTAAGCTTCAATAACGCTCTTACATAACGAGGCTTTTTAAGAAAATCATCAAAATCCAAAATTCCATCAAAAGTTTGAATATTTAATACGCCCAAAATGTTTACAACTACTTAATTTAAATAAAACAATTTTTTGGTGAATTTTAGAACTTGCCGTTTTGTAAAGAGCATATCGTTCCTGTTTAACAACAAACAGGTCAAATTTAAAAGAAATACATAATTTGGTAACACAATTTTGAAAATATATTAATACTTCAAGTCCTTTTAAAAAGTAATATTTCACTCCAGCACATTCAAGCTGATAATCATTTTGCCAAAAGCTCAAAAATGACATGACGCTGCAAGTTAATAAATACTCGTTAAGAGGAACGAATAGCCTAAAGATCGATTTGCTCGATTTACACATTATGAGTCTGAATTGTTCTTTTAGTATTTTTTTTTTATTTTCCACGGCCGTTATGCATTGATTCACTAATACATGTTGATTAATAATTTGCAAACTATCTAAGAAATGGTAAAAAGAATTCACTGAATAAATCTTACGTGCCGCAGTGGGTGAATTTGAGAGTAAATGAAACATTATGAAGCCGTAGTAGAATGAAAGGCAAGAAAAGCAATATTAAAACTTCAGAAAACTTGCAACAAACTAAAACATTACATAATAAATTACTCAGGTTTTAAAAACTTGGTAAGAACTGAGAGGTCACGCAGTCAAATCAATCTACAGAAGAAAATCGGAATGCAATGCTCACTGTTTTACTAATACGCAAACAAAAAAATCAGGAAAAATTAGGAAATAAAAAATCACAGACACGTTGTATCTGTCAATACAACGCTTTTCTCTATCAATACAAGACTTTTTGGAATATATCGCCACAGTAACTAACGGATCTATTCTGTATAATACCTTTTACAAGTTCTCCGCGATCGACCTTCGCCGCATTCTCTATGGGATTTGGATTTCTGAATTGAATTGAATTGAATTGAATTGATTGGATTTCTCTTCCACGACTCGTTCATGAAAGTAAGCCATAGCGGCCGCCTATAAATTACTAACGCCAAAGAGGGGAAAGGGTATTTGAGGTATCGTTACGCTACGTTACATGGGGGTATGGGGTGTTAGTTTAGTGTTTCGTAACACTAAATTTCGATATATGTTTTTTATTTCCAAATTCCGATATATGTTTTCCGTTTCAACATTTGTTGAAATAATTTCTGTTATTCAGTCTTTTACTAAAATACGTAAATGTTAACTAATTTAATTTCAAAAAATATATAAATAAATTAAAAAGTTAAGCTATATAGATTGTTATAATTTTTTTCATTCACATTAAATTGAATGAATTTGATCGAACGTGAAAGAAATATTCAAAACTGATCTATAGCGTATTTTAGAATCTAATTAAATTGTCGCAGTACTCTCGCCCATGCGTCATCCTCATCGAAGTGTGCACGGCTTGTCAGAAACAGTTATCGTTCAAATTCCTTCTTTCACTCAAAAATTATCCCAATCTTATTGTGAGCCAATGCAGAATAATTGGCAATTGATTCTGACTAATTATCATCAATTTTAATACACATCACAAATAGAGCTAATGCAAATTGGTTTTACCGTTATATGATTTATTTTTACTTATTGAAAATGAAGGGTGATGAAGCAAGTGTTAAGTAATTATTTGCGGAAAGTTAAGCAAGCGTTACAGGTGCGTTACGGGAGGAGGGGCTATACGGCCCCATAATCCTTTCAATCCGATGATGGTTTACCATGCTTTGTATATGCTGTCATTACCGTGGGCACTGCCACTCGAGTAACTGTTTTCGTCACAGATGCTCTCACAAACCGTACATCGATTCTGTTTAGAAGTCTGAGAGATATCATATTTCATCGATGGTTCGTGTTCAGTCGCAGAAAAAATCCTACAAAACACTAATATTACCATCAAAACGTGGCGTGTCAATTGTGCAGTATAGCCGCGTCGCGGAATTTAGAATTCCGCAGTGCCGCCAACTTGCTAAAACAAGTACTGTATTGCATGATGTTCATATTATTTTGTCCAACTCCTGTATTTCTGAGCAAGCCAAAACTATTTTGGAAGTTAATACATTTATCTGCAAATACCTTCCTTCTACTGTATTTCAATGCAACGACATTTGGTATTCTTAATTTTCGTTTGTTACATTTTCAACTTCAAAACGATGGAATTTAATTTTTTTATGATGGCACAACAGTATATCCCTAATCTCATTAATAAGGTTAATAATTTTTACCACTAGATAATTATTTTAACCTTAAAAGAATAGAGAATATACCAAATATTTGTGAATAAAACAAAAAATATACAGTTACTCAATGCAGAATGGTATAATGCGGAAACCTGTCTAATGTGAATGTAAATCGGGGTCCTGCCAAACATAAATTCTAGAGTATTACATTGCTTAACGCAGAACCTTGAAAAAATAAAAATATTATCTTAAAAGAATACTGTTCTCCTGCGGATAGAAACTGGTCCCTTGAGATTCCACATTGAGCAAGTTATTCTGTACGAGTATATTAAAATACAAAGTATAAAACTTTGTTATCATTTGTCTTTTCTTTAGGAATGAAATAAAAATATGGGTGACAATTTTTTTGAAAGTATTTAGAAAGTGTGTTCTTGGTTCGTGTATTTTTTATCCATTAAATAAAAACTGCGTACTCGGTTTACAAATTAAACATAACGTTGTCATTATTCGTTTCTGATATGAATGAAAGTATTTGCCTTTTCCCTACGCAAGATTATATCCATGCCGCGCTAAATGAAAGTTAAGAATCAAATAATTGCAAAACGAATGAAATAGATTATTTTCAATGTGCAGGGATGTAATTAATTGTGGGTCATCATCAATAGCGTTCATTGCATAAATATGCAAGTACAATTTTGGTTGGGATGATCATTTTAACGAATATCCCAGGGTCGTTCTTATGATTTACATTAATGAAACCATTTATTGATTTTTTCCATTCATGGGTTTGCAAATACTCCTCTTTATGGAGAATGCAACTCATTAGGGAACGCGCGAGACGCGTTCAATACATTTTGATTGCTTTTAAATGTCGCGATTTGTAAAAATACACATGTGCGAATAAGGCGACGATTCTCATTTAAATACAATAAAATTAATTCGAATATTCAATATATTGTATATCTCCATTCAAATTAAACATATATGCATGAATCAATTCTCTGCATTGGACAATAAAACATACAATAACTTCACAAACACTTTTAATATTCCACACAGCATGTCACTCTAATGTTCGTAGTCAAAGAATAATTTACTAGATAAATGGCGATGAAGTAGGGATGGCATGTTCTGTTTCAAAATACCAATAAATCCATAATGCAATATATTGCAAGGTCAAAACCGGCATGTTTTTTTTATCGAATGAAAAACAAGAATACACCGTAGTTATTTCGAAAGACCGTTTTTTTATTGGAGGTTGCGACACTGAGAAAATGAAGAAATTAAATCAATTATTTACTCTACCTTTGATACATTTCAAAATTGAAAATTTTTGAGATAACCTGGAAAGTGTCCACTGAAAACTCCAGATATGAAGCTTAAGTGGGAAAAGAAATATTAAATGTTAAATAAATTAATGACTATTTCAATTGCAATTAATTATAACTTTAATATTCTCACTTAAAATTAATTTTTTGAACACTTGGTGGGTAAAATCCGATAAAAATTTCGGCAATTCCGATAAATTGCAAGGTATCGAAACGAATTTTCGTTACCGATATCTCGATACATATCGACAAACCCCCCGTATTTAGAAAACGAAGCAAACGTCACTGCCATCCCTACCACAGACACAATCACTGCCGCCCGGCTGTCCGCGAGTGTTGGCGGGCGTGGCTCAGAAGATGAGCGTGGGCCGCTGGATGAGGTGCTCGCTCTGGATGCGCTCCGAGTACAGGCGGCCCTGCTCCTCGACGGCGGTGATGAGGTCGGTGCCGTCGCGCGCGCTGTTCTCCACGGCCGCCCGCACGCCCGCCGTGTCCACGGTGCGCAGACCCGACGCCCACCCCACGGCCGCCCACGCGCGGATCAGGTTGGTGGTGCAGCTGCGGCAGTACGAGCCGTAGTACTCGTCCGTCTGGTAGTCCCATGGCAGCAGGTAGTGGTAGTGCGGCCACATCGACAGGTTCACCAGGAACACCAGGTTGGTGTCGTACGAGAAACTGCCACAGAGAACACGCAAGTCAATAATAATAATAATAATAATAATAATAATAATAATAATAATAATAATAATAATAGTAATAAGAGTGTAACAATACATCCACTTGCTATTTCGGCTGAATGTACATTAATAGTAACAAACAATTTCAGGAAAAATCTGAAAACAATGGGATTACTTCATCGAATTCTAAATTACGGACAGAAAGCAGTCATCCTGCAAACATGTCATATAGTTCGCAAGTTCTTGAACAAATGAGGCTCTCACATCGGTCTTGGGGGTCAGAGTGAAATCTCTCTCCTCTTTGACTGAGCTCTTTCCTTAACGTGACAGGAATGGGCAAATTGAACCCAGCACAAGCTGCTGAGAAATAAATAATAATAATAATAATAATAATAATAATAATAATAATAATAATAATAATAATAATGGTAGGAATAATATGAATTAGCATACATTTAAAATGGAACTGAAATTCTGCAGTGTATTGCCAGGATGGGGTTTGGGTTTTCTGGTGGCTAGGTAATTGTATTAAAACACTCAAGGAGACGAAATGAGAGGGATGTCACAAGCTCATAAAGTTTACAAATTATTGCGTATAAACAGATTTGTGAATTTGAACTGAATGTTAAAATCAAAAAAAGAACCATAATTTGCTATAACTTAACATAATTTTAATATTATGGACAGTATACAAGAGAGAGGATAACACTATGTTGTTGTTATTATCTGAATATTGCATAATACAATGTATTCACAATACCCGTTCGCACGTTCAGGGATCTTTAAAGAGATGCAGGTCATAATCTGGTCTCGTGTTTTTCCTGTAGATACATATTCACTATTTTCATGGGCTGTGAGAAAATTAGCTGCCTTCACGCACTGAAAGTTCCTGAAAGTTCCACGCTTGTCACGTCGCAAATCGTCGTTTGCGCGCGATTCGTGTAACCTCGTCTACTACGCCTAGGCAACAAACTCTCATACGGGAAGGAGCTCCACGGCAAGGCAGTTTTTTTTATTTCCTCCACAGTGACCCTGTGGAGAAGGGAATTTATTTACTTTTGATTTTGACATTAAGCTGCTGTCTGCAGGCTTAAGAAGCTAGAGGAGGGGCTTTGTCGTACAGCTAAGTTTAATATTCTAGTCCTAAAGTTAACTTACTTGCACTCTGGCATTCCTAACTTACACTAAGATTGGTTTTTATTAATTACTAAAAAATTGTTATTATTATACATGTGAGATATTCTCTTTCTCTCTCTCTCTCTCTCTCTCTCTCTCTCTCTCTCTCTCTCTCTCTCTCTCTCTCTCTCTCCATTCCCACATCATTCATACTTGTTTCATTACATACATAGTCATTCATTCTTTTCATTCATTCATCCCATTCTTTCGCACTTCGCTGCACTACAAACTAAAAAACACTGTTCGCTCCGGCATTGACTTGGCTCAAGTCAGAGCAGAGAAACACTGAGCTAACGACATTGCTCACACTCCTGATAAGCCCGCAATGCCGAACGGCATAGGGCCTATTCTTCAAGGCAGTAGTTCTTCGACTACAGTGCAACAGAAACCCAATGTAGTACCAAAAAGTGCCCGCTGCAAGCAAGTTTGGTTAGTATTGTGTGCCATACTTCGATTTTGTTTTCAGACAGGTTCATGAATGTGGGATTGTTAAGTCAAATGTATTTTTGCGACTTAGATTTTAGGTTAATTTAACTTAATTCTAAAACTAACTACTCAGGGTATTAGAGCTCATGAAGCGCCTTACTTATTCTCCAACCCGGTCTGTATATTCAAAAAAGTTTGAATTGTAAACGTGTTTTATTCTTGTACGGGAATCTGGGATTTGAGCGTGGTTGAAATTGGATAGGAGGTCGTTTTGATGATGTGTGAGTAGAATTTGCTGGAGATCTTGGTAATGAATGGAATTATATTTGAGATATTAAATTCTTTGTGCAATTGTAGATCTGAATCGAATCATGGGGCTTGCGTAATTGTTCTCAGGTATTTATTTTGAACGATTTGGATTTTGTTTAAATTTGTTCTTGGGGCATTTAATCAGATGGGACACACATAGGTCATAATAATTCGGATATATAACTATTTCGATTGACAATACAGCTCTGAGCGTTTCGAAAGTCAGTGATTGGTCGATTTAATTTATTACGGACAGTGAGCCAAACATCGCCTTCGAGGCCGCTCAGAGCCACCTTGACAATTTTGCCGCATTTTATCAATTGTCAGTGGATGTGACGACGAGGCTTCATTTGTGCCAAAATGTCTGCAATTTTTAAAATAAATCTAATTGTAATATTATAAATTTTAAAAACTAAAATTTAATTGAAACTATCGAACTGTATAATTGTAAGTTCTAATAAATGTGCAGATTAATAAGATTTAATTTAATCGTTTAAAATAATATAATGCCGTACCAATTTCGATTAATACTTGGTGACTAAATGAAGAATAGTGCCGGATTCCGGGACTAAATGTTCCCCGAAATGATGTACTGTTTTTCGCCCAGCGAACTGCCAGACATATCCGACAAGTAGAGATCCTAGCGAACACAGCAAATGACCACACCACGTGCGTCTTTCGCTGACGTAAGGGTTGTCCATGGCACTGCCTAAAACAGCATGCACAGTACTGACCAAATTCTTATTTTTTTTAGTAACTTCCAGTGCCCGTCAGTAGCTGATTTTTTCACAATACACATAAATAGCGAATATCTTTTAATAGAAAAAAATCAGGCCAGACTACCACCTTCACCTGTTGAAATATCCTTTGTTAGACAACGTTGCACATTTAAATAAATACTAGCTGGAGTATCCGGCATTGCCCGAGCATTTATTTACCATATATTAGGCAGTAAAATAACTTGTTCTCTCCTTGCCCCGCGTAGTGCTTGCTATTCTATTCGAGAGCATTCCGTATTGGTGTGTCTCGTGTCCGGACACGTCCAGAAGCTCCGTATTGTTACAAGAGCAAAGTTGTAAAAAAATATTGAAATTACTTTATTCTTTGTCAATTCCTGCAACACGTGCGGTTGAGGAGAGTTGCTTGACCCATAAAAGAATCACGTCGTATCACAGAAATGCTAGGTCACGAGAATGTAAAATTTGGTTTTGCTTCGTTAGAGAAGACATTATTTTTGAAAAGTGTCAATAGCTAATGTTTTAGGAAGATGTTATAGCAGATTTCACCAAGGGTAGGAGATTACCTATACGCGTCAAAAAGGATGTAAAAATTAATTTGACTGGTGTGTATGTTGAAACTAATTTTTCTAACTGCAACGTACATCTTCATTATTGCTTTAAGCAGTAGGGTAATACGCTTTTTAAAACCATTTTTTCTCATTAATTACAAGTTCTGCCAGGAGTAAAGTTGTTTTGTCATAAATTTGTGCTTTGTTTTCTTTCTTCTCTTGCAATCTATCTACCGTGCGTAAAATCTTTTTCTAACTGGTACGCCGCGAAAAAACCTCTTCGCACAAAAACAGTTTTATAAGAAAAAAAGCTATTTATGCCTTTTTATCTTATAAAAACAAGAAAACACTATCATTTTTTAATATGAACATTTTTCATTTGACAATTGTTGAACGCAAAATAAACAACCGCGCCCAAAATTATTTACATGTCCTATTAAATACGCAATATGTATAACTTCACATGCAAAACTATTATCAGAAATATACGATGGCTCTGTGACAAAGAAAAAATGAGCCAGACAGAGTTTACTAGTCACGGTGACGTGTCCGCCACATGGCTCTTCCCCCTCCCAAGGGTGGGAATTGCGTGGGAATTGAACAGGAACGGGGGACACTGTTAGACCATTAGCTAGACGGACAAAGGACCCAAATGTCAAATACATAAATTTAATTATTTGATTACATATACTTCTATTAATTGTCTCAGTCCAACTTTCTCACGTACAAAATATTAGTAATGTTTCATTACATGTAAACCTTGATTTCGTCTATCTGTTTTATAATGACATTATCTATCTTGTAGTTTTGTATCACGTATTTATACTTCTTCTTGATGCCTCATTTTGTCCAATTGAACGATTCGAATACATTTTAGTATCTAACAGACAGTTCTCTTCTGTCGGTTCAAGAAGTTCAATATTATAATTTAAAAACAATTGAACAACACATTTTTGGGTGATATTTTGAAAATCAACTACGTTGTTCTTTTTAATCTTTGCAGCTCAAACGCATTCATTCAATTTTGTGAACGATTCCAGCGGACCTAATGTTTCTCTGACACACAAATACACATACTCTAACTTTTATAAAAAAGTTTATAATATCTTCCCAATTACTAATTACTGGCAGCCATACTTAATTGTGGCTCCGACCATGTAACAAAATCAGTGTTTCACCTTAATGAGAGTTCTGCAAAAGTATATTTTTCAAGTAGAATATTGAATATTTTTGTACCTTATAATGAGCATAAATATGATCTTGTTTAGGGCATCTCATTTATGACAGAAAAGTAATATACACTTTTGTATTGTGAAAGACAATACCGAAATTGTTATAACTAAATAGTTTGCTTTTAAAATAAAGGAACATTAAAAATTGATGAAACAGTCACATATTCTATTCTAGCTAAGAATATATCTAAAAAATATTATTATAAAATATAATTGTGATGTAATAAAATAGTGTTTTCTTTTCTTGGAGGAATTATGAATCTATTGTCAAATGATACAAATGAAGGTTTTTAGCGGAATATTGTTCAGAACGGATTTCTGTTCTGTCCCAAAGCATTCCGTACCGTGGAATTTTCATTAACATTATTGAATTAAGTCAGAAGAATCGGGTAGCCGAAATCGCTAAGGCAGTAGTGCCATGGCGATCTTGGACGGAATGAACGCGGATTCGTATCCCGTGTCGGTCATAGGTGGTTTGTGTTTGTGTATGTCTGTGTGTCGTCCATTCACCCTTCATAATCATCTCATACTTCATCCCCCCAGCGCTAACAACACTGGGATGTAAAAAATGGGTTCGGCATAAAAGTGCTGATTCCCCTCCCCCCAAAAAAGGTCACGTACACTTGCCCCCGGGAGAACACGACTAGCTCTCGGTGGGGAAGTGACGTGTTCGCGTGGTCCTAGGATTGCCAATTCGGGACTGAAGAAAAACATAAATGAATTTTTTTAAAAAATTTATAATGCGTCAAGTGTACTGTGCTTCGAGGCAAAAAAAATAAAATAAAATTGAACGAAATGTTTACCAACCGAGGGCGAGTGAATCGGATTTGAGCTCGAAATCTAATCGAGTTCCAAAACATTCATTTGTAGGACGGAGTACGGTTTTTTGTATTCTTTTTAAAGTAGACATTTCTGTACTGTAGTAAAGATAATTTAAGAACATTATTTTTATCGACATACATGGAAGACATTTTGTAGATGAAATGTAAACGTCGGAAGTCCCGTAACCATTGTCATATTCATTAGTCACCAGATGTCGAAGTTTAAGGACAAGGATTTGCGTTTTTCCTACTCAACATCTCGTCTGCCCATTTTCTTTGAACTACTCCGGTAAAAAAGTTACAGGCCTAGTTCTTGAGAGATCAACTTTACAGATGATTAGCAGTTCAAAAATGGCTGCTTTAATAGTCGAGAGCATAAGAAAGTTTGATTGCGTTTTATTTCAATTGCTTAGCGCCATTGCATGATTCAAGTACTTACTTGGTTTCTGGGCGCAGGCCCCAGACGAGAATGCCGCTGGTGATGAGCCAAACGGCGTGGGTGACGATGACGTAACGCAAGAAGAAGACGATCAATATGGTCGTGAAGACGTCCTCGTCCCAAAACTCAACGGGCAAGTTCACGGGGATAATGAAGGCCAGCACCGGTACCAGCAACCAATAGAACCTGCCGAAAAGTCGCAATAGCAACGTACTCTTATGTTGGTATTGTGGTGAGTTTTCGTTGGCATTTACAATGAAATAATTATGAGTGGAATTATATGAATTATTAGACTAGTCGTTTTTGTGGCTTCCATACAGCAGAAAACTGATGATGATGGATAAGCCATCGAAATATGCTATTGTAATAAATAGTATTGTTGGCAATGGCGACTCATATAATTATTTTGTACTCTAATGTACTTGTGAAGTTGAAATTACGTCGGAAAAAGTTTACCTCTACTTAAAATTTTATTATTTTCATGAGTAAGAGGAAATGTTTGCTATCAACCTCTCATTTCATTGGATAGGAAAATATTCAGATAAAAATAAATAATGAAAATCAAAACAAAAAATTAAATCATCGAAAGAATGATGTAAGAAATCATTACAATCTCATGTCATTCAGAAAGGTGGTTTCAGACACCTATTCCTAACCGACCTCATTTCATGAGACAATGAGAACATTCCCAGCAGCGCAGTCTCGCACTCGCTAAGATTTCATGGCAAGAGCCTGAATGAGAAGGCATTTTGAAAGTGGTCTGAGATTCCACTGTTCTAATTGTAATACCGATGAACATACATTTTTCACATATGAGTTTTTAAGGGACTTTGTGATGTAGAGCATAATTCTCATCTACAAGCTGCGGAGTTTTTTCCAATTTGCTTATTTTTTTCTTTCGATGGAAAAAGCAATATAATTTCTTAATCGTTTTTGAGACATTAGTAGCATTAGGTTCAAATGCATATAAATGTCTATTCCACTAATGTGCTTATTTTGTGTTTACGTGCATAAATATACTATTCTCGTATTTAAATGCAATTATCCTTAATACAATTTTTTTTGTTTTTATCCTGCAGATTACAGAGAAATCGAACAACTGTCGATAAATCTATGTTCTATTTTACTGCCACCACATGGCAAATATTTCGCATTATGAAACACGTGCAAAACTGCTGGTGGTTATTTTTTACTTTGAATTTCTAAACAATTTTTTAATTCATAAACGACTCAATTTTTTTCTCGTGTGTATTAAAAGTCACCATAAAACCTGATGCCGTTTCCATTTTTCGCGAACACTGGATTTTCTAAAATTGCAAAATGTTAACATTGCAATTGTAAAATGTTAGCATAGCAGAATATTGAATAAAGAGATTTTTGCCTTAAATGAAATGTTTAAAAAAATCAGATCTTTAAAGAAGTTCTTTTGTGTGTTTTTAAAACGAGTTTTTTGCGGAATTCTTTTTAAATTTTATTCAAATTATAAACACATTCTCAAAAACCGCTACAAACGCTTGCTTCAATTTTTCCCGCAACAAAAAACACTTAAAAGAATTGTGCAGGTTTTATTTTCATTAAATTCTCTGGATTTTTTGAAAAATGCAATTTTGAAATATATTTTTAGATATAATGCAAGAAAGTGTTAGTCGTTGTAACTCCACTAGTTACATTTGTGTTACGCATGATGATTAAAACAAATCGTACAATATGTTCTCTTATATTTAAATTAAATGCGAGAAAAAATATCCTACTGTTCAACATTACAGTATCAGCTAGCCTTTAAAAAACGCAAAAAAGGTAGCTATTGCGATTCAATCTTTATTGTCCAAATTTCGGACGGGAGGGCGTGTGAACGGCAGGGAGTGTGGGCGGCAGGGAGTGTGGGCGGCAGGGAGTGTGGGCGGCAGGGAGTGTGGGCGGCAGGGAGTGTGGGCGGGAGGGTTAGAGGAAGGGAGGGTGACAGGACGGGAGAGCGAGTGGATGGGAGAACGAGCAGTCGGGTGGATGGTGAGTGGATGGGAGGGTGAATGGACGGGAGGGTGAGTGGACGGTTGGGTAAGAGGAAGGGAGGGCGAGAGGTCGGGAGAGCGAGTTGACGGGAAGGCGAGAGGACGGGAAGGCGAGAGGACGGGAAGGCGAGAGGACGGGAAGGCGAGAGGGCGGATGGCGGAGGGCGGAAAGTGCAAGCTGACCTCTTCTGGTACATGAGCAAGGGCTCCGCCTCGATGTCACTCATGTCCACGCCTTTTGAGAGCTGCTCCCAGTTGGACGGCCGCGTCGCCACGCGGCTCACCAAGTGCGAGAACAGGAAGCCGCGCTTGTGGTTGAAGGGGTCGTCGTCGGTCCCATGATGCTTGTGATGCACGCGATGCTCCAGTACCCAGTCGTACACGGAACCCTGCAAATAAGATCGATTATTGGGATGCCACTGTTCAGAAATAAACATAGCGAAAGTCGCTCTCAAAATAGCAGTAAGCTAGTAACTAGAAGCAGCTGCTCGTCTATTTGGATGCATTAAAACAATAAGAAAAACTAATTAGACCCGAATGAACATTTGTGCACTTTTTGAATCATTTTGTTAAAGGTGAATGTTTACAGAGAAAATAGCTTCTTACTGGAACCCATCTTCGAACGCTTCTGACTACCTTGCTAAGGAGAAAGAGAACATCCAAAAATGTAAAAGTACGTCCACAGAGTTCTCATTTGGTAAATTACAATACAAGAAACATTGTTTTCTATTTGGGGGGAGAATGGACATACTTGGAACCCATTGGTGTCCTGTTGGTCCCAACATAATCGGATTCCTTTGGTGATTCGAAATCCTTACAAAAATTACAAATGTCCCTTTATCTTTTTCTTGTAACTTGGGAAATATATTGTTTTATTTACTCATAACTACATTTTATGTTTCATGCTGTGTAAAAGTTTTTCTGCTCTGTATAAAATTCCATATATCTTACTTAGTTAGACAGGTGGACGGTTTCATCTCATTTCACACAAGCCCTTCAATTGTATTTACAAAAATAGCGCTTTAGAATTGCTATTATGGTTAGCGTCGAAAGAAATTTAAGTCATTATTAAAACACTTATTAAAAATAAAAAAGGCATCTACGTGTGATTTTCTTTACGAAAATACTGTTTTACTAACAGTTTCATTCAACAAAATTTTTTGAACAAAAATTAAGAAAGGTCGAAATATGATGACCCCGATTACATGAATATGATTTATATCTGTGAATGTAATGTAACTAGAGTATTCAGTGGGAAGATATAACGACTGTCCAGGAGGTAACGAAACAATTATAATGCATCTTAAAGAATTATTCAAGTGATTATTACAAGCGCGTTCTAGTTAACACTCAAAAATTTTCTTCTTCAGCATCACTGTTTCAAACCAAAAGTGTTTGGTTGAAGAGAATATAGGAGTTTGATTTACGTTTGTACATGTTTGGAATTTACGTTTGTACTGCTTTACCACGATAGAATATGAGGTAGAACTTATTTAGCATGCTAATGTTTTATTCGCGTGGCTATTATTAAGTTAAATGATGACTTCATGACGCGAAGCAATCTTCGGAAATCTCCCCAAATAGTACAATAATTTGTAAAAAATTCATTTTTAATTGTCAAGCCGAAATACCACCAGAAGAGAAAAACCTTAAGTAATTTTTTATGTACCAAATGAAACAAAATACAATTTTCAATCTATTAATAATGAAGCTACGAAACATCTGGAAAGAATTAGTTGACTACGGGAAAACTGACGAAGGAAAAAAAGTTCAAAAGGAAGACGAAATAATAATTGTAAGGAAAATATTAATAAAGGGGGACAATAATAATTATAACGGTTTAATGTCTATTTCTAGAGAAATATCTTAAAAATTGATGATGAACACCATAGTCTTTTTTCAAATTGCACATACTGCTAGGGTTATGGATTGTGCCGTAACTTACCGTGCCGGAAGCTGTCTGGCAAAGAAGCAGGAACACTTTCAGCGGCAAGGAGGCGGTGTAGGTACGATGTGCCCAGAGCCTATGGGACCCAGCTGTCACTCCAAGCAGTGAAAACGTGCCCAACACGAACGCTACGACAATGAAATGCACTTTCCGGTATCTTCTAATTCATATTCTTCACGTGAAAGTAACATTATACATACGTGTTATACATATAATAACATTAGTTTGAAAATTTATAAAACGGTTCAAGAGTATAGCACAATTTGTAGTAACAAAACGATGGTTAAATCATCTTAAATTTAACTTTTTTTTCATATATTTCTACCGCCAGAAAATACGCAACGAATTTGAATTTTTCGAAGGATAGCGCATATTGGAAAAAATATTACAATTTAAATGTCATTATATTTATTATCTAAATTGAAATGTAAGCTTTAAAATTCGTCGAAAACTTTTTTCATTACATCATCATCTAAATAAGATGTTTGTGCTAAGAGAACATATACCCATATACTAATAATAGTTTTTTATAGGCCAGGGGCGTTATAAGGGTTCTAACGATCGGAGACAAAAAGACCGAGAGCCTTTGGCCCGAGGGCGTTTTGTCGCCTGAGATCATTAGAACCAGTTAACGCCCGTCACCGTGATTATTCATTATTTTATTATTTACCTAATTTTAAATATTCATATTTTCTAATTAACTAGTTATTAACTTGGCTCGGTTCGTAATTTTGTAAAAACGTCGATTCAGTTTGGAAAAACTCATACTCATACTTTAGGCGCTAGTATTGTGCTTATACACCAGACGGTCGGACGGACAAACGGAGAAACATTTTGAGAAACAAAAACTGTGTTAAACTGTTACCATTGAAATCTTGAAATCGATTTTCCGCAGCATTACACAACACTTATATTAATCCGTATATACGTACGTATACGAAAAAATAACTACTAGTGCTACAAGTGGCACAGACTTTCTCGTACTACTTAGTTTTCTAATTTCGTTAGTCTGGGCAAACTTACATTCTTGTCCCATCCTCTTGCTTCATCCCTATCGCCGCCCAAAGTACTGTACGGTAGAATTGAAATACCACTTTAAGAATATTTAAGAAAAAATCATATAATCGTCAAATAAGAAATTTTTTGTTGAAAACTTTGAAGCTGTTTTTAAGAAAACGTCCTTTAAGCGTTACTAAAAATGTGAATTTTATCTCGCAAAATAAAGCTTTTTTTTTCACAGAAATCTTTTGAGTTTTCGAATACATTTTATACGGATAGTACTAAATGCATTTTTTAATATGAAATAACGTTGATTTTAAGATTTTCGTTGTTTCGTATAAACACTATTGCATATCTGAGAGAAGGTACTGAAAATTACGTCCATTGAAGTATTTCGGCAACTCAAAAATTTTCTGTGAAAAAGAGCTTCAAATTTCGGATTTACAGTAACGCTTAAACGCCATTTTCTTAAAAACGGCTCCACATTTTTCAATTGAAATTGCAATTTAGAACGAGATTTTGATATTCTTAAAGTATTCTTAATATATTTCAGTTCTTCTATTAGGAAACCTAATAATTAAGAAAAGTTCAAAAAAATGGACATTGGGCGGCGAAAGATGGCAATTGGCAAGAGTATGTGGCAAGTCCGAATAGCTAGCAGAGACCAAACCTATACATCATAATCAACATGATTCAATCAATGAACAAAGTATTTTTATTTTAGTGGCCAAATACCAGTTACCTTACTCAAAACATCCGAGAAAGAACCCGAACACTTACCGAACACGACAGTCAGGAACTTTGCTTGTATAAAAACGAGCAGCAGAGCATACAGTGCAAATAGGTGCAGATGAAGGTGCCATAAAGTAGTAAACCAATGTATTTCTCTCCTAGGCCGTTGAGAATTCTCAGCCGTTGACTTCTCTGTTTGAGTATTCTCTGCACTTCCGTTGCTGTCCATTTCTAAAAAAAATATGGCATTTTATTTCATATTATTTATTTTTAATTATGATTTCTTACGCTCCTAGTGACACGATTCTTGTACAAGTTTTATTATTTATTACATGTTTACGTCTGAGAAATGTAAATGTGCCAAATGTAATGAGACGCAAAATAACCTAATTGCAAAATGAAATTCAAAAAGTATATTACAATTTTGTTCATACACTAAATCTTTTTTTAAAGAAATCAACCAGGTATTTTCTTCAAAAACAACAGTCACTCACCTCCTAAAAGGAAATTGTAATAATCGTACCTTATATCAATACTTAATAAACAAAATATGAATAAAACGATTTATTTTTTATTATCAATTGAAGATCAGGTTCCTACTTCCGGACGTCCTTTTACACTTCAATATTATTTTTGGTAATCTTACCTTCTTCAGCCTGTTAGCAGTTGCGAAGACGAAACGAAAGTGGCCGGTTGAAGGAATTGTAAGCATTTGTATTCATGAAAAAGAGTTTTTACAATTGTCAAGTCATTTCCTCCGTAGGTTAGAATGACAAAGCCCTTTGTTCAATGTGATTCTCACGTTTTCAATGCTTTGTCAATGGAAAGCGGTTTGCTATTGTTCATAATCTCTAAATCTTATCTATACTGGTTCATTAAACATATTGAAAATCATTGCAACAAAATAAACTGAACGCTACACATTTTAGAATAATTAAATTAAGGAAAACTGAAATCGGAGAACATGAACAAAAACAACTTGTTTAGATAGCCACCAGGTAGTAAAAGCGATTCTTTCAGTGTACGCATAGCGTGATACAGTTCAATTACTAGCAATAATACTAAAAGTGAGATAATCCACATATGTTCAGATTAATCAGTGAATTCATGGATTCATTTCAAATACAGAAAACAGAAACTTTCTTCTGAGAGCCTCAGCTATAAAACTTACCTTACCGTGTCAGTAAGTAGATTGTATTCCTGAATTAAAATAAAATAAAAGTCGGAAAGGCTGTCTAAAAATAGTATATGACACGGGACAAAATTATTTAGTTTTACTCGTAGGATTGTCTGTCTTTGGTAGCCTTCCTTATTCGCAAAATAAATCTCACTTTTACCACTAGTATCATAAATAACAAATTTTTGTATTTCCCGGTAAAAATGTCCTTTTTTTGTTTTTTATTATTAAATATTGTTTTTAATCCAAAAACGAATCGGATTCTCTCTCAATAAACATTTAACATTCTCCTTTATTACTACGCAGAAACGTTAGAAATTATTATGTAATGCTGGAGGACGAGGTACCGATTATCTGTCCGAAAAACAAATAGCGTGGGTTCCTTATATCGAAAAGTGGAATATTCTTCCTACGTTAGGAAGAAGATTACTTTATCGTGTACATAGTATTTTCAGAATTAATCAAGAATTTTGTTGAGAAATATTCTATAAACGTCAAATTCCAGAAATAAACGAAGTTTCTCGGCGTTTTGTCGACTCAAAACGTTTAGGCGATCAACTAAATTGCAATACCGGTTCAACAGGATTGCTGTTTTACATGCTTATAGAGGTTGCTGTTTTACATGACGGTCAAAATAAGTTCGCAAAACATTTCAAATGAGTGTACACAATTTTTTTATTGCAAAAGTGAACTGGTGAAGTCACATAAAGTAAGTGTGATAACAATTTAATGATAAGCATTAAAATTTGAAAAAAAATGTTTTGTATTTTTTTCTTTATATACATTTTTAATGGGAGTTGGTTGGAGGTTGGGCCCCCAGCCGGGTCAACTGCCCACTTGGACTTAAAACAATAGAATAGAATATTTATTTTACTACTTAGGAATACATGGAATATATCCGGTGGTAGCATTTTCTAAGTAGTTACTATAAATACACAACACAAACAATCAAAGAACATTACAGTATTTACGTATTACTTAATACAATTTTACAAGATAAGTATATTAAACCTATCATGCTAAAGCTGATATGAAATCATTATTTAAAAAAAATTAACATATACTAAAATGAATTACAATTTTTAATCTTTTTTTTTTAAATTGACTTTCTGAGGGTGTCTCCAGCACTGTTACAGGCAATTCGTAACACCAATCTCCAGTTCAGCTTAGCATTGGTTACTTATGAAACGAGAAGACATGAAGAGTAAAATAGTCACGAAAATATGTTTGGGCAGCATATCTATAGTACTATCATAAGTACTAATTTACAATAAAAATGTTTATATCATGCTGCAGTTGCTCAAACTTAACTATACAATCGCAAGGTTTCAGGAAATTTTTATTGTATATTATATTAGATCTTTAAATCATTTTATGTAAACTGTAATTAGTTTTTCTCGAAACGTTTTGATGGGAATAGTGCAAAACTAATTCAGAGGCAGAGAAGATTTTTCATTTAAACTTTTCAGCCTCGCCTCGACCGTCCAATAGTGCGCGCTCTTACCAATTGATAGTCTTCGTATCGTTACCGGACAGTCCAACGCCGGTATTTTTATATATTTATTTGTTCTAGATGGAATACATCGTTTAGTATAATTGATTTACAGATGTGTTTTTAGACGTATGCTAGTTAAAATATCTAAGCTAACTTACTCTATACAGTGGAGAGGATACTCTAGGGGAGATCGATGTATCATGATTGGCTAAGATTTTGAGAAAGGCTTTGTACGAGGCGTGTGATTTGGAAATTGCTGGAATGACCTGTCGAGTAAGATTCCATATTGATAGATGGCGATGGTGGTGCTACACCTTTTAATGTGGTTAGGGCCGCACTGATTAGCTCCCGTGTGATGGCATTGTTTTCGTTGCTCACGAATGAGAGTAACGAACGGTTGATTGGCGCACTGCATTCACTAGTTTAGAATACTTTCGGAGCACAGATTAAGTGTCACTTTCAATAGTGAAGTTGCAATTTACACTTCACTGGTCGGACGAAACACTGCACAAATACTGAGGGCCGACCGGGTCTGGCCTGGCCTTACTTGGCGCGGAACGATAGTAGCTGCTGATAACGGAGCGACTGCTCTGGTCTGCAGCTGAAGCTAGAATGACACCGGGTCAGTGTTCATATATTTAAAGTTTTCGTCCATCCTGTGTTCAGTTTCTGTGTTGAGTACTTTTCCTTGCCTCGACTTCAATCAATTGGAATGTAGTACTGTATTTTATTCACTATACATTAAATTTTTGAATTTTCAACACCAAATTAATTTTGTTTGAATCTCTTGGGCTTCATTTAGTTACTAAATGTTCAAATGATGGCTAAAGTGTTACTAGGATGCAAGTTACAATTTAGTTATTTATCCACTTTGGTTAGGTAAAGTCAAACTTTATGTCACTATAATTAGTTTCGTTATGAAGTACTTTACCCACTTAGTGTAGTAATGTATTTCATTACGACATTATAACAGAGTAAACTTAGAGATATCAATGTCATTAAATGACATTGTACTCTTTAACGTAGAGTAGTGGGTCCAAAGACCACTTGGTTTCTCCTTCTCTGACTTGCAAGAAAAGTAAGCAATCAATATCTTTTTTTTTCTCTCTTTATTTTTTGTCGAATCAACGACTAAGGTTATTAGCGACAACAGTTTTAATTACAGGTGTTTACAGACAAGTCATTACATAAACAAAAGTATCAGAATGTATTGGTCATAACATCTTTTCGAGGGTTACACATCATTACATTAACATAATATAACATAATATACATAATATAACATAATATAACATAATATAACATAATATAACATAATATAACAACATAATATAACATAAATAACATAATATAACATAATATTAACATAATATAACATATATAACTTAAATATAACATAATAACATATAAGTTATAACATACTATTATCTTACATACTTGTAACACAATCATACAATATCATCGGGGTAGGATCATAACACATCAACTCTAAAGATACGAGCAGCTTACCATAACGTTATATTTCAAGCATGACATTTGTGTTTCAAAATCTATTTCGATGTGGAATGAAGGTTTCATCCCAACAATCTTTAACAATTAAATACTGACACACATAATTCTTTCTTGATTTGTTGGGTAACAGTTTTTCTATTACAGCAATTGCCGATATTTCTATTCCTGAATCAGAACTATATTCACGCATGTCAAAAAGTATACACCAAGTATGTTTCAATTGTTCCCCCAGTTGAGAACAGTGTTGCCATCGCCACGTGAATCCTAAATGAAGTCGTAGGACGAAATTTCACATTAAATCCAACAATTTTGTATAAAGTAGATGTAATTTTGTACGATGGTCGTGCCGTGACATCTTATTACAATAGTTAATTGGTTAGCGAAATCGGCCTAACGGCCTCGTTTGGCAATTTTATAATTTCGTATTGTAATCAGATGCTTTACGACACCTTTATCGTAAATAAATATTACGTAACCATTACTAATAATACGATAAAGATTGTCCTGTTGTAACACCACTAGTTTCATTTACATTGAAAATGTGCTTTGGAGAGAGAAATAGCGTTTACAAACAAAAGAAGTTAACAACAACCAGTTACAAATAGTAGGAAAAACCTAGCTTTCACCAGACATTTGTAACGGTTCGACGAGTTCGTAAAGCCGGAAGACCCCACACCCCATCCCACCAGGTAAAATTATCCTACCGGCCCTTCTCTACAACCGGATGCCGCCGTGGATTATACATTTCTTGGAGCTACATAGGTCACGAAACTTCCCTCTTTTAAACATCTCTATACCCGAACTCGACCTTTTCTTTCCATGGTAGCCCTGTGTGGAAGTTTATTAATTTTTAGGACGTACAGGTGTGTATTACTGTGTTGCGGCTACAGTCACTACGGTCCGAACAGATGTGATTCTGAAGCACTTTCTTCATACAACATGAGTATACGATTTGGGGTAGTCGTAGGACGAAATTTTTCCGCGTATAGGCCAACTTGGACCGCGCGTGCATCCTGTTTTAGCAGGCGCAAGTATCTTTCTGGGGGCGGGGGGGGGGGATCAGCACGTTAGCAGAATCCCAATTTGTATCCCACACGTTTATTAGCTCTGGGAGTATAGACGATGAGGGGATGATGATAGTGAGGGGTGAAAGGACGGCACACACATACAGACATACACAAATACACGCATGCCCGATGGGGGACTCAAACCCGCGGTCTTCTGAACCGAGACCAGTACGGCACTACCGGCCTGACAATCTCGGCCATCTGAGCGGCCATCATACTTTTATAAGTATTTATTTCCATGGCTTATTTTCGTGTCCCGGGAACACGTGCTCAGTGATGCGCAATCTGTCAACGTCGATCCATTCTACTAGCAACTGCCAATCACCAACTTCTTTTAATCGGACGATAATGGCATTCGTTTATCTTTAAAAATTTCCTTAAGTTAACTAGAGTAGATTTAAATTTAAAAATGCATTTTGCTGAATTACTTTTGGTC